AGACAAACAAACAGAGTACTTCTACTTCCAGAATATACCATTCTTTCAGTCAGAAGCAATACTATAAACTCATTTAAAATCAAAAGATAAAGTAAGGGACAATATGCACATTAGCTAAAACAGAAAAATCCACAATAAATCCTATGATAATGACACCAGAATGTTTCCTTCATACCTATCTGTGATATTTTCAAGAAAAACTGGATTGTGCACAGATATTAGATAGGTCTGTTTTATAATGGTAGACTTGTGCAATTAAGTATGGAGTAAATCTGAATTTAACTAAATGACTAAGCTTTAAGCTGTAGAAATAAACAAACTGGATGTGTGATATTAAGTGAAATGTAATCTTTATTTATCTGCAGAGCAAAAACGCAGTGTGTGTACTTACATAAACTCTGGACAATCGCTCCCTATCAATTATGTAAATTAATCAAGAGCTTTAATTCTTCCTGCATGGTGTCTTCACATTGACCTATTCATTTGGATGACCAAATAGAACTGTGTGAATCCAATGTTCCAGACAAATCAAGAAAAGTCAGATTTACCCATAATGACTAGCACTATCCAACTGACTGATTATTTTCATTCAACATAGTAAAGTCTGTAATCTCTAAGCATCAAGTGCTCAAGCAGGGAGGGGTATATTGCCGTCATTCTAGTTTTTTACGTTTAGTATCATCATATAGAATAGTTAGTTTTATCTGTGTAATCTTTCTTGTTCAAAATTACCTTTTAAAAATTTAGAAAGTGTAATTAATATGTGAAATGATTTATAATGAAATGCTTCACACTATGAAATATTTTATGGATTACCTACAGTGTACAAAATGAATTGTTCTTTAAGATCTACTATGTCATGTATAGCTACTTTCACTCATAAACTAGTGGATTTTTTGGTTCATTTTTTTAAAGTCTTATCTTACAGATAGACTTATGGTAAAAAATAGTTTTTAGTTTTCCAAAGATGTTTCTAAATTAGTTTCTAATGAACCTTTTATATTGCTAGTTTGGACATTGAGTAATGATGTAGAAATATACCTTTAAGTGAAGTAATAGAGTTAAATGGTAATTTAATATTCCAAAACTTGGATGTTTTTAGGGTATAACAAAACCCATTTTTATTAAATTATTAGAGTATGTCACGAAAGAATCTAATTTATTTTTTAATTGTTGGCATATGAAAAATTTAAAATGTCTATGGTTTCAAGGATTACACCATGTTT